GAATGACTTTTTTATAACAATTATTAGGGAAGTATATTGGGAACATTTTTCTTTTTTTTTATACTAATGTTTTTTTTCTTTTGATTGCACAATTTTATTCTTTAACTTATGCTTCCCTCTTTTTATCAACTTCTCTATTTCATAGGTCCCACCTATAGGGCTACAACCTTGTAACCTAAAACATTTTTGTAGTACTAAGGCTCAGTTGTAAGCTTATAAAGGTAAGGTATTTTCATCTTTTTTTTGTTGTATGTATTGATTATACAGTCTTTCTTTCTTTTTAGATTAGTTATAATTGTTACATATGGGGCTCAGACTTACAATCGTGAATGACTTATTCTAAATTTTGGAGCTTCTCTTGCATACAATAGGAAAAAATTAGGTTACATGTTCACTAGTTTTGAGTTTCAATCCAGATCACACTTCTAGTTATGTTTTTGGTTATGTTTTCAAAGATCATTGTGCAACAGCTCTAACTGGATTTTCTACTAACATTATTATTATTTTGACTTTAGGTTTTTATGAATTTTAGTTAGCTTTATAAGATTAGATTAGGATTAAAATATTATTAATTAATTAGTATATTTCTTTAATGTAACTTGTCAAATAAATTTGGTTATTACAAAATAATTTACAAATATTTTTGATTATTTATGAATATATTAATTTATTATATATTTAGTAAATTTATTTCGAATATATTATTAGTTTGCTGCATATTTTTGATTTATAATATATAATTTTACATATTTTTAAAGTTTAACAAGATTTTAATTAATTTCATTCAATTTCAATCAATTAAGTTTTGGTATATTTCAAATTTACTATAGCATAAATTTTCGTAAATTTTCATAAATTTTCGTAAATTTTCGTAATTATTCTCTACATAATACTCCGAAGATACTATAGCATAAACTTTTGTAATTTTTTACTTTATGTAATACTCCGAAGTAATCATAAGTTTTTCGTAATTTTACCTTCCGTAATTATTTATGAAGATTTACATATATTTTTTTTTGATGATGCTTAGTTTCTTCTGGAACCTTAAAAGATGAGATTTTTGCTTTAAAGGAAGTATTCTTGTCACAGGTTCTGTTTTTAAATGACCAGAGGCTGTCTTCTAACCAAGTTGCTACAGGTTTAATTTCTAACTCTTTCTGCTTAGTTGTTTCTTTGACACTTTGGATTATAATTTCTTGCGAGGTTTTCTGATCCATCTTGTGCTCTTTTCTATTTGACCCTTCTGTATAGTTATTTTCACTTCTTAGTTTTATCTATTATTTCTGTTTGTTGTGCTACTACTTTAAACTTTTTTGTGTTTGGTGTTTCTATTTGCTCTAAGCTCTTGTTCACTTTTATATCTGGCATTATTGTGTCTTCTATTTGTCATTTTTTCTTTGATGTTGCACTAGAGTAGTCTTCTTTATTTCTACTGTTTTCTTCGATTCCTTCCATCTTATTCGTTTTTTTTTTTTTTTCTTTTTTTGTTTAAGCTTAACATGTAATCGACTGAGTCTAGATTTTGGCTTGCTATTTTGATTTTACTAGCCCAATCTTCAATATTTTTTTTGGTACTGTTTTAGCTTTTTCTGATGCATATCTCTGAGTCTCGAGTATTTGACTATATAGAAGAAGATCTTTAGTTGTAATTTTTTGGGAATCACTAAGAGCTAAGTTTTTTGTATGGTTTCTAAGTCACTTGGTTCTTTAGTCATAGATGTTTCCAAAATTCAGTTTAATTTATTGCAGTTTAAGTATTTACACAGTTTGTTACCTGTTCTTTGCACCTGCTGAAATAGGCTTTGTTTGTTGATTATCTCTATTCGATTACTTTATTTGCTTGATCTATTTTTGTATTTTTGTTGTTTGACTATCTATTTCCTAATTTAGTTTTGTACGTAACTTGATATTTGTTGTTTTCTTTTGCTAATTGTTGTAAATTTCTAAATCAGGAATGTGACTGCTATGTTTGTTTGGTGTTTACAATTTTTGGTTGATCATGTATGCTTAGCAATTTTTCCAGAGTAGTATGATGCCCCACTTTTGTCAGGAAAAAAAATTTTTTAAATTGACTCTGAGTTTCCAAGTAATTGGTTTCAGCAAAATTAAATTTTATATTGGAATAAAACAAAGGAAACACTGGATAATTAAAATCTATGGCCTTGGATGCTTTAAGGAGAACAGGTTCAGTTGACTAAATTATAAGTGTCAGAGTTGGTAAACAAATTTGTTTGGTCTTTTTTACTAGAATTGCCACCTTTGTGCTAGCACCAAAACCGAAGTTAGCTATTTGTAGCTTCTGCCTTTCCAATAGTATTAAAATAAGCAGTGTTACGTTTGGTATTTTTAAAGAAAGCTATATTATTATAAAGAATTTATAGTACTGTTTCTAAGTTTTTGTTAATTTTGTTTGTTTTGATGATCTATGAGAAAGAGTTTGAATTCTGAATAATTAATAATTATTAATAATTAATAATCATTATTAATAATTAATAATTATTAATAATTAATAATTATTATTAATAATAATTATTAATAATAATTATTAATAATAATTATATAATAATTATTAATAATTATTATTAATTAATAATTAATAATAATAATAATAATAATTATATAATCTATATTACAGACTTAATTATAAATAAATGAAAAATTTTATAAGTATAAAAAATTCTTTTTTTAAAAACTTTATTAAATAATTTTATTGATATTTTAAAATGGCTCTTAAAAATACAAAACCTGTTTCTCAACATATTCTTGATACTAATCCTGCTCCTGAAAATCCTGAAAATGAAATACCATATGAAAAAACAAATCGATTAGCATGCATTTGATATGCTACTAATAAATATTATGAATTAAATCCACATTTAATTCAAGAAGAATCTTAAGCAAGTTCTTCTACTGAATTACAAACCCAATCAAGCAAACTTAGAATACAAAAATATGGAGCTTCACAAACTTCTGCACAAAAAATTGAAATAAATAAAAAGCAAAAAAAAAGAATGCAAACAATTCAACAACAAAAAATTAAATAATTTTATAAAATTAGTCAATGTGAACTTGAAAATTATAATAAAAATAAGATTAAAGATAATGATATTGAAGCTGGACGTCAAAAAATTAAAACAATGAATATAATTTGTAATTATTGTCATGCATTAAAATAGAAAAATGAACCAAATTCATTTTGTTGTATGAATGGTCAAATTAAAATTGCATTACTTGCATCTGCTCCAAATATGCTTTATAATTTACTAACAACAAATGATCCTAATATTGATAAATTATTTGTAGAACAAATTCAAGTATATAATTCAGTATTTGTATTTACTTCTTTAGAAGTAAATCTTGATAAAACTTTAGCAAATGCACAGAAAGGTGTTTATACATTTAGAATACAAGGAACTTTATATCATAAAATTAGTTCCTTAATACCTAAAGAAATTGAAGAAAGATATGATCCAAATTTTGTACAAATTTATTTTTATGATTCAAGTTTGGATAATCAAGTAACAAGATGAATAGATTTAATATCAACATTAAATAAAGATATGATTCAAGCAATTCAAAATGAATTATATGAAATCAATTCATTTGTTAATGTATTTTATCAAACAGGATTTGAAGCAGATAATTATCCTGATTTAACATTAACAATTTATAGTATACATGGAAAGGATATGAGACAATACAATCAACCAACAGTACCAAAAATTGCAGCAATTATTCTAGAAAATTATGAAAATACTGTAATTCAAAAAAGAAATATTTTACTTAAAACACATACAGGAAAATTACAAAAAATCTCTGAACTACATGGTGCTTATGATCCATTGCAATATCCTTTATTATTTCCTTATAGTGAATATGGGTAGCATGACAATATTTTGAAAGCTAATGAAATTATAACTATATTAGATAATGAACAATCTGATGATGAATTTAAAGAATTTAATAATAAAGAATTTGATTCTAATCAAATTTCAATTTATCAAGCAACAAGTATTGCTAAAAGTACTGGTGTAACAGAAGCATTTGAAAATTTATTAGTTAGATCTGCCTCAAGTATAAGTACAGAATCTAATATTAAGAAAAAAAAAACAGAAATTGAAGTTAGTAAAGAAATAGTTGCAGTTAAAAAAAGAAGAACAGAAGTTGAATATAATGAAGAAATATTTGAAATTGATAATGAAAGTGAAAATGAAATTATATCAGGAGATGAAGATTTGGATCAAATTCAAGTACACTAATCAAAATAAAAAACAAAACAAGTTACAATTTGAGAATTTGTTGTTTATAGAATTCAAGTTCGAAATTATAACAATTAGTAGATCAGTATGTCAAATAGGAATCAAATACTTTATAATGGTATAAAAAAAATCAATCATAATTTAAATCTGAAATTTATTCAGGTCTACAGGACATTGTTGATTCTGATGATACTACTATGGAAAATATTGGCAAAAAAGTTATTTTAGCATTATCTTTTACTGGATCTCAACGATATATGCAACAACTATATTAAGATTCTAAGACAATTGTTAGAGAATATGACAAACCTAATTTATTTGTTACTGTAACTTGCAATCCCAAATGGCCAGAAATAATTAATGAATTATTAAATAGATCTGAAAATAAAAAACAACAAACTTCTGATAGACCTGATATAGTTGCTAGAGTTTTTAAACAAAAACTTCAAGCAATTACACAAGATTTATTTATAAATGGTGTACTTGGAAGAGTTATTGCACATGTTCATACAATTGAATTTCAAAAAAGAGGACTGCCACATGCACATATTCTTATGATATTAGCATCTGAAGATAAGCCAAAAACACCTGAAGATTTTGATAAAATAGTTTGTGCAAAAATTCCTGATAAAAATCTTCAACCTCTGCTTTATAAAATAGTAAGCAAAAATATGGTTCATGGCCTCTGTGGAAACTTGAATCCAAAATCACAATGTATGAAAAATAGTAAATATAGTAAACATTATTATAAAGAGTTTACTACAATAACATTAATTAATAAATTTGGATATCTAATTTACCAAAGAAGAGATAATGAAAGGACAATTAAAAAAGGACAATATATTATTGATAATAGATGGATTGTTTCTTACAATTCATATCTTTGTCAAAAATATAATTGTTATATTAATGTAGAAATATGCTCAAGTATTCGATCAGTAAAATATCTCTACAAATATATTTATAAAGGATCTGATCAAGCTATTATTAAAATTGGAAATCCTAAAAATAAAATTGAAAAATATATAAATGCAAGATATGTTTCTGCTATTAAAGCATATTGGAGATTATTCAATTTTGGCTTGTAAGAAAGATCACATAAAGTTGAAAGATTACCAGTTCATTTAGAAGATCAGCAATCTATTATTGTTAACCAAAATGAACAAATATCTACTGTGTTGACAAAATCTTTTAATACAAAATTAACAAGATATTTTGATATGTGCAATGCAAATCAAGATGATCCTAATATAATGAATTTACGATATATAGATTTTCCAAAATTTTTTGTTTGGAATAATGGATTTTGGAAACGAAGAAAACAAGGTGGTGAAAAAATTATTTCTAGAATGTATATGTGTAGTCCACATGAAAAAGAAAGATTCTTTTTGCGAATATTATTAGCTCAAGTCAAAGGTGCTATTAATTTTAAAGCAATTCGAACTGTAAATAGAATGTTTTATAATATATATAAAGATGCAGCTCGCCAACTTGGATTATTAGATGAAGAAAATAATGAATTTGATAAATGCATTAAGAAAGCTGCATCTTTTAAAATGTCATCAAAATTATGACAATTATTTGCTTCAATCTTGCTATTTTGTGATTCACAGAAATTAGATCCAAAAAAATTATTTTATGAAAATATACATTTTTTAGTTGAAGATTATGAAAGAAAACAAAAAAGACTCACAGGAAAAAATGAATTAACTGCAGATAAATATCGAGTAATTATTACCAAAGCATTAATAGATATTGAAAAATATTTATCATATTATGAAAAACATTTAACTGATTATTCATTTCCTGTACCTGATTATAGTTTGGTTGAAGATGCTGAAGAATATAGTATATAGGATCAGGAAGTTGATTTTGATTCAAATAAAATCAATCATACATTACAAAAAGAATATCTTTTGAATATTAATCAAAAATTAATTTATAATACTATTATTAAAGCTTTAATGAAAATAATACAAATGATGAAAATAATACAACCAAACAAAAAGTTTTTTTTGTTGATGGACCTGGAGGTACAGGAAAAACATTTTTATTCAACATGCTATTGGCATGAACAAGAAGAAGTTTTGGAATTGCTCTTGCTGTTGCTTCATCTGAAATTGCAGCTTTACTATTAACTGAAGGAAATACTGCACATTCTAGATTTAAAATTCCTTTAAAAATTACTAAAACTACAACTTTAAATATTAGTAAACAGTTTGATTTGGCTGATTTAATACAAAGTAGTAAGCTTATTATTTGGGATGAAGGTCCAATAGCACACAAATATGCATTTGAAGCACTTGATCGAACACTTAAGGATCTAATAGAAAATGATGAACCATTTGGAGGAAAAATTGTTGTAATTGATGGTGACTTTAGGCAAATTTTGCCTATTGTACCTTGAGGAACACAAACACAAATTGTTAAAGCCTGTATTAAATCTTCTTATTTATAAAAACATGTTAAAACATTGGCATTAACAATTAATATGAGACTTCAAAGCCAGGATGAAGAAGAAAAAGAATTTGCTGATTATTTATTAAGAATTGGTGAAGGTCGTGAACTAATATATACTGATATTGGCAATAATATTGTGAGATTGGATGATAATATGGTCTTTAATAATGAACAAATTGAATTATTAATATTGGATACATTTTCTGATATTAATAATAATTATCAAACTGATAATTATTCAAATTATATTAAAGATCAAGCTATTCTTATATTAAAAAATGAAGATGTAGATTATATTAATGAGCAAATTATTAATATATTTCTAGGACATTTATATGAATTTTTATCAGCAGATTCTGTTGAGGATAAGGATTTAGTACATCAAAATCTTTATCTAATTGAATTTCTAAATACTTTGACACCAGGTGGAACTCCTTCTTATAGATTAATATTAAAAATTGGAGTTCCAATAATTTTATTATGTAATATTAGTCCTAATAAAGGTCTTTGCAATGGAACTAGATTAATTATTAAAGAAATTCAACAACATGTTATTGATACAGAAATTATTACAGGCTCACATTTTGGAAAACAAGTTTTTATTCCTTGAATTTGAATAGCACCTTCTGACTCAGATTTACTATTTCAATTAATTTAATACCAGTTTCCAATACGTTTAGCTTTTGCAATAACTATTAATAAAGCACAAGGCCAAACAATTCCATATGTTGGTTTATATTTGCCAGTACCTGTATTTGCTCATGAACAACTATATGTTGCTTTATTTAGAGTTAAATCAAAAAAAAATATCAAAATATTAGTTAAAAATGGGCAAAACAATATTATAATTGGAACATTTACAAAAAATATTGTATATAAAGAGATTTTTAAGTAATTATATTATATATATTATATTTATTATATTTATTTACTACTATATTTATTTATTATTAATTTTATTTATTATATAAATTATATTGATTATATTTTATTTATATATTATATAAATTATATATTTTGTATATTCTATATATTTTGTCTATATTATATATTTTATTTATATTATAAAATTTTTATATTTATTATATTTGATTTTATATTTTAATAATTTATTATATAATTAAATAATTAAACCAACTTTTAGATTTGAGATTTAGATTAAATAAAATCTATTCCTAGAACAACACCTGGATTTGAGACCTAGATTAATTAAGATCTATTTCTAGAGAAACACTCAGATCTAAGATTTAGATTAAATAAGATCTATTCTTGGAGCAACATCTAGGCCTGAGACCTAGATTAATTAAGATCTATTTCTGGGACAACACTTAGGTCTGAGATCTAGATTAATTAAGATCTATTCCTGGTGCAATGCCCAGGCCTGAGACCTAGTACAACATTATATAAGGAAACACAAACTGGTACTGAGTAGTGTGAACCCAAGATAAGTCCTTAGGCCTTGTAAATCACAGGAACCAGATAGGAAAATGGAAGTCCACTTGGAAGACCTAAGTAGAGAGATAACTTGAACCTTTAATGGTGCTACTTTAAAGACTAGACTTATAAAATAGAGCTAGAATTTGTAAAACTAGGCAAATGTGTCATTCTTTGAGAAGAGACTAAATGAACCAACCAGGCTATCAGAATTTCTGGGTTTTAGAGAAAAAGAGTACATGCCAGCAAACATGTAAACCAGAGGTACATTCTTACTCTACCTTTTCAAGCTATCTGAAATAGCAGCTTAATGAAACTTGAATTGAATACTAAAGTAGTAAGGATATATTGTGAAGTCAGTATTAAGGTTGGGGTAAACTCTATAAGGGCATAGTAGTTTAATAATATGCCCTAACCACCAGTGTTGGTCTTAGCTATAGCAATATTAGATCAGCTGTAAGAATAGAATACAGAAGATTCTGGAAGGTTTAGTACAAGGTCAAAGGTTTTCTATATGAGTAAACTGCTTTAAAAACTTAGTGGTCATGGCTTATTTTCATCAGCATTAGCCAGAGTCATTGGTAGACAGAGGTAGGTGAGTAGATATGAAAACAGAGTAGTTAAATAGAGAACCTACAAGTAGGTTTCAGGTATGGCAACTAGTGTAGAACCTTTAGGTGAACTACTTAAATTAGACAATAACTAAAGTTGTACAAGTGACTAGTTGTATACTTTCTCTATAGTTGCCTTTTGTAGTTGTAATGCAACCATTAGCCAAATATATTATCAATAAAATCCTGAGTCACAAGTACTTACCTTAATATTTAAAAAAAAAACATTTAATATAATAATTTAATGTTAAAATACATGAAACTTGTATAAGAATACTTAAAGTTTTAAGACAATAATAATATTACAGATGTTACTTAATGTCATGTGATTGTATTATATTTTTAATAACAAATTAAAATTTTTTTATCTAACTACTATATATTATAATATAACTATTAACTAAAACTAATAGCTAATTTTTTTACAAAATAGTTTTTTAGTATAGCATAGTATATAATAGTATTAATAGTTATATATATTTATTATTGTAATTTTATATTATATTTATTATTAGTTATTAGTTAGCTAATAGTTATATTATATAGTAAATAGATAAAAGAATCTTAATTGGTTATTAAAAATATGATACAGTTATATAAAACTGAGTAACATCTATAATGTTACTATTGTCTTACAAACTCCAAGTACTTTTGTACAAGTTTCATATATTTTAGTATTAAATTACTATATCAAGTACTATAACACAAGAATTCCAAGTATTCTAATATAAATTTCAATTGTTCTTACATGAACTTCAAGTATTTTTTCACAAATCCAAAGTGTCTTTGCATAAATTCAAGTGTCTAAACACAAGCCTCAAGTATTTTAACTACAAATAACAAATGATATAAACAATATTCTTAGTTGCCTTTGCACAATTCCTATTATTTCAAGCATAATGATATTTAATATTATTTGAACCTTTATTTTACTAAGTATAATGATATCTAATATTGTTGAACTTTATTATTTCAAGTATAGTATTAAATAATGTTGCTTAAATCTCTACTATTTCTGCTAAGTAAAAAGATATATAAAAAGTATTTTTTTTTTCTTGCCAATTCTAAGTTCTTATATTTTAATTTAGATCTTTCTATCTTTTTTTTTAACTTGTAAAAGTAATATTTTTTTTTAGAATAATTTCTACAAACAAGTTTGACACTGGTGTTTGTTTAATAAAGTTTAATCTATATACTGTTATTATCTTAAACTGTTTGCCTACTGCTATATAGTAAAGTAAACTACTATACCTCTATTCTGTATATATTTGCAATAGTTAATTATTGTACCAAGTAACCTTGTTACTTAGTTGTATTGTATTAAAAAGGTTGCAACTCTGTAATATTTTGATGCTTTTTGGCAAAAAAACTAAAAATTATCTCAGAAAAAGAACAAAAACCTTTCTTAAAAAAACTACTTCAAGAAGCAATTCTTTCTCTAAAAAGGATTTTATTTTAAAGTAGCAATTATAAAAAAGTATTTTAAAATTTTGGAATTAATATTTTAAATATGCCTTTACTAACTTAACTTAAATTAATTTAATTGTATTTGTATTTTGTATTTTGTATTTTGGAATTGAAGAAGTTTATGCTTTTATCTTTTATTTTTAAATTTTAAATTTTTGAAATAATCTTAATTTTTGATTTTGATATTACTAATTTACTTATCAGCTAATGAAATATATTTTAAATTGTTTAAATTTTTGATTTGATTATTTGAATTTTTATTTTGCTAACATTACTTTTAAATTTATTTTCTTAATTTTTATATTTTATTTTATCATTTTATCACTTGTTAATACTAACATTTCTTGAAGAAAATTTATTTTATAAGTTATTTTTTTATTTAAAAAATATTTGAAAACATCAATAGGCTTATCATAAAAGCTTTTTTATTACCAATACTATATTACAAATCCTTGTAATAGATTTTATTATACTTAGTATTATTTATCAACTCTATTGGCCTTAATCCTTATAGATGTTTTGCTAAATTTTAGGCATTTTATTCTGAGACTTACTAAGCTACCTGTTTTAGTAAAATTACCTAATTCAACCTTTTAAGATTAGCTATTTTTGCATATTTTGTTGCTAGAGTTGCTATTAAAAAAATTATTTCTAGTTGTTGTTATCAAAACCAGATAACCAATTCTCAAAGAATTGTCTAAACTCTTTTTTAAAAATATACTTTTTACTATTCTTTGCCAATAATTACTGCTGATCAAAGAACCCAATTTGATAATTTTATTGATGATTTAATTAAAGTTCAATAATATATTAAAGGATTACAAATTTCTATTGCAAAATTAATACAAAGTTTTAAAAAGAAAACTAGTGCATCTACTTTTTAT